CGTTTTATGCCATTGGAGCTACTGATATCCCGTTATCTTTCCCCATCTACTGTATGAGGATTTCATGTTAATTAGACGCTCTCTGGAAAGCATCTTTAGACATGGAGCTGTATCTTATGAGGAGCTGGTTGATTCTATTGCCCACCAACACCTTGAGATGTGTGACTCCATCTTGTCCGATGCGTCACGTCCTTTACACTCGGCCTTATCTCGCTCCATTTTAACTTCTGTCATCGGCAATAAATCTAAACTTTCATATACTCGTACCACTGCTTTTCATAACTCCATTGTACCTTACCTTTCAAGCTTGTTGGTTTCCATGAAACGAACTCATACACAGTCTAATGTAAATTTTCATGCTGAAATTTTCTTCATTTGTTATGCGTTCTTAGTGTCCTCATTATCATATATGTAACTATTTGTCATGTCTTGAAACTCATTTTTAATACCGCGTATACCAAAGCAAAAGTGATAACATTCACTGGAAATTCACGTGAGAACCAGGCTGGTTTTAGATATGGTCGAGGTTGTATCGATCACATCTTTACTCAGTCGACCGCTCTAAACTCTGGCGTTGCCTTTCCCTGAAGGGTGTACTTGAGAAGTTTATTTCAGCATTACAATCCCTGTACAATAATAGCCGAAACCGAGTACAAGCTTACGGCACTTTTTCGTCCGAGTTCACTAAAGAAAGTGGTGTTCGACAGGGTTCCCCTCTCTCTCCGTTTCTATTCGACTTTGCCATAGATTTAACCATTAAAGCAATCCTAGCCTAATGCGACGATAGCGGCATCGATTCATTCCCGGGTGGCAGACTGTCTGATCTGGAGTATACAGACGACATTGTGCTACTAAGTGAAGATCAGGTAAGTCGCAAGCTTTTCTGGATAGTTTGAGTGCTAGTGTGGCCATGTTCAGTATGCGTTTTGCACCTTCAAAGTGTAAAATGCTGCTCCAAGATTGAGTTGACCCAGTCCCCAGCCTCACGCTGACTGGGGAAGTTGTAGAGAAATTAGAAAAATTTTGCTATCTGGGCACCTTCGTCTCACCCGGCGGGTGCATCACGGATGAAGTGTCGGCGCGCATACAGAAGGCTCGGTTGGCATTTGCCAACTTGAGACATGTTTGGCTCCGTCGCGACATCCGGCTGTCTGTGAATGGTCGAGTATATGCTGCAGCAGTTTGACCAATTCTGCTTTACGGTGCAGAGACTTGGCAATTACGGGAGCAGGACAAAAATAGATTGCCGGTGTTCAAGCAACGTTGTCTACGTCGCATTGCGCAAGTCTATTGTGGGGTAACCGAGCTAGCAACACTGAGGTTAGGTGTGGAGTTTTAGGTAGTCGCGGTCGTCCACTGGAGCAGGTAGTCGACCTCCATAGATTACGTTGGTTGGGGCATTTATTACGCATGTCACCAGATTGATTGCCACGGCAAGCGATGTTTGCCTAGGCAGGTAGTGGCTGGAAAAAAGGTCAAGGGTGGTCAAACGAAGACCTGGCATGAGGATATGAAAACCCTAAGCAGGAGACTGGGCGACATGGGTTCCGTTAGGCTCTTTGGCTGGGGATTCCGAGATCATGGCCATCGATGGTTAGAGACACAGCGCTATGGCTGGCTGTTGCAAACAGTGGTGCTCATGCATCTACTCATTATTCTTGTAACTTGAGTCTATGTAAATGCGTTATCTTCCGCTTGAATTCACTCCCAACATTCCAATTTTCGATTCTGCCCTTTTATCTCAATGGGCGACCAAAGGAGAGTAACCAAAACCGGCGCACGGAAGTGCATGGTCAATGGTTTTACGAACTGAACTGAACTGAAGATTCCGTCCGCATTGGATGACTAAAGTGCACTCTTAACTTGACTTGTGACCCTAGAGGTTCACCTTCTTCCCCTTCAGTCAGAACGAGTCCAATCCTTGTCCACCTTACATATTACCACTAACCTTGTATGCATTATAGGTTTGACAGCGATCAGGGAAGTGCGCCTCACTGTATTTCGGTGCACGATGATGATGACAGTAACACCCAGTAAATTCTCCGCTGTTTTAAATCGTTTTGCCCTTTCGTTGCAGCTTTTGATAAATTCCTGAAAACGTTTCAATTTTTATGCAGAATAAAGCACATCAAAAGCGCCAATCCTGTTCAATCCACAGGCATATTTCAGAAAGCACGAATAACTTTTCTTGATTTTCTCCCGTTTCCGCTCCTCATCATGTGGTCAGACAAGCCGCGTTTAAGCTTACCGGACACGATGACTACCCATTATCAGATATAGTTTAAAGCCAGATAAAATTCCAGGCTCAGGTAAACAAACATAGTCTCTGTGTTTAGTTTGATGCGATCAAAATCAGGTCAACGAACAGAAATAACCGTACATAATTGTAATGACCAGTTGACGAATTTGTCGAAAACAGCTTGTTTCGCCTACCGGACTTTGATCTCATTAAGATATAATTCCTCAGTTTTGCACTCCCACATCTCCCGTAGTTTGTACCGTGAACTATCATTAGTCAACAGAAACAAAACGGAGTAAGTAAACATATCTTCACAAGTATACATTTTTGTGTTTTTGTCTTGTTGCATTTTTCCTCAGTACCATCTCGTCTCAACTATTCAAGCGGAACTTTTCAACTGGAACGATACATGGAATGTAGACAAGTTCCGTCCAGAGTTGGCAGTACCTTTCTCCTATTGGCTGGTGCAAAATTTACCCATGCCAGGACAATTAAAGGCTCACATTTTGGGCATTGATCATGTGGTGCAGCGATTGCGGGCTTTGCTTGAGGTTATTCGTCGCGTGAGTTTTTCATTTTCAAGATTTTGTTTACCTTTTTCAGCTTTGTATGAGCGTTCTCTGTGTTATTCGATCAAATTGTTGTGTATAAAATTCCACTACTGAAGCTCAGTTATGCCATATTTATGTTTCGATTATAATATCTGTAAACATCTGCCCATCGTTGAATATGTTCTGTGTGTGGTTTGGCATGCATAATTATTTCAACTTGAATGTAAGCTTCAGTACTTGCAAAAATTCCGCGTATTACAATGCAATACAATTATGTTCGTGTTCTATTCTGGTCATGTTCAATGTTATAGTTCGAATTCCAGGACACAGATTGTCAGTTTTCTTTTGTGGCTGTGTAGGTTTCCATTATATCATTTGTAATAATAGAGCCAAAAGTGTTGGCCCACGAAAACCAAGTTAGGGTAAGATAGAGTTCGACACTACACCGATTCTACTTCAGCAACCCTTTTTGTAACCGTAGACAGAAACTATCGGGACTTAGTTCAGCTGGAATCTGTGTAATCCACAGAAACTAATTTCTCCAACCCCCCCTCCCCCCAGGATATCTCTCTAGTGCTGTGCTTCGTGGCATTTTATCTACCCGAGCAAAGCATACATGATAATCACACTGATCTTAGACGTCATAGAAACTAATTCACAATTTCGTAGACGAATTACGAAATAGAAGGATTCTTCTTGAGGACGGTTCTTTCCGTCTTCCTTGATACCTTTCCTTTCAGAGGGTCCTGTAGAAGTCCATCTGTCAGGTGCAGAAATAGCGCAAGTCTGATTTACGTTTTTGGCTCTTTCGCCTAGGTTTACTATGGATTGTTGTCTTGTCTCCCGGATTCTGGCACGCTATCAAAACACAAGCAATGAGTGTCATCGACCTCGGCTGGCTACTCGCCGAACCACTCCTCCTGATACCAAATATGACAACGCGCGCGAATCCCTTAAACGCACACTTATCAAGAGTTTGAGAAATGACCGCGAGAAGTGATGGATAGGGGAATGGAAAAGTCTGCGGTCATGGGTGGTAGTGACTCGTTTTTGTTTAATTAGGAGCACGAGCCCAAGGAAAGTAGGCGCAGTTTGTAATTAAGGAGTTTAACGGCACTGATTCACAATCAATAACGCCGTCTTGAACGACGGACCCAACGTCTCAAAGCTCCTATCGACAGCAAGCTTGTCGATTGGGCAACTGTTGCCGGTAGATGTCAGTCCTCCATCTGAAATGGAGGTTTCAGGGAACTAAGTCATCTCAAAAGGTGATGGCACAGTAGTTTAGTCGCTGTCACCGGTGTGCTTTGGATTCTGTGTTCTGGGGTTTGAACCCTACCACCGCCACCCTATTTAAGTGGTAGGTAGTTTTACTTTTGCCCGGTTCAGTACCACATCTGACCTTATACAGTTCACCACATCAAGTCCCGGAGCTAGGTTCCCATCATTGAACCACAGGTGTTCGTGACTCTCGGCTCCACACCGTCTGCTATCCATCACACAAAAATGTGTGTAATAAAATAAAAGGCTTCCGGCCCGGATGGGGCGTCTTAATCGGCTTTGAAGAATGGATGTTCAGCGTTGGCCTTAGAGGTAATAAAATTCCTAACCTCAGTACGGGAAAAGAAACCGGTTCAAACTGAATTGCGTAAATCGATCATCATGCCGCTTGACAAGAAAGTCGACAGATCCCCTTGTGAAAATCACAAAGGAATTAGTTAATCAACATTGCCTCTAAACTTCTCCCTGGTATTATACTCTGGTGATTGTCTGCCGCACACGACGGTACACACGTGAGAGCCGGGCTAGTTTTAGACCTGGTCGAGGTTGTATCGACCCCATCTTCACTCTTCGTCAAATTCTAGAACACAGACACTCCTTTCGTAGACCCACCATTTCCATCTTCCTCCATATGCGGACGTCTTTCGATGCAGTCCGCCGCTTTTCTTTTATCACTGACTCTTAGGATGATGTGCTCGAGAAGTTTATTTCAATGTTACAATCTCCTTATATAAACAGCCGAAGCCGACACGGAGCCACCGCAATTCTCCTCCGAATTCACTACAAAGAATGGTGTTTGGTGGGGTTGCTATCTCTCCTTTTCTCTTTAACTTCGTTATAGATTTGACTATGGAAGCATCCCTGTGCCTGTGCGAGGATAGCGGCGTCGATTTGCTCCCAGACGACAGACTCTCTGTTCGGGAGTATGCAGAAAACTTGATACTGCTAAGTGAGGATCCGGGTTAGTTGCAAGCTTTTCTGGAAACTTTGAATGCTAGTGTATTTTTTATTTAGCTATTCAAAACCTAACCAAATACAGAGAACTGGCAAATGTGCCACCATGTATGAACAAAAAGAAATCTGCAGAATGTATTCATAAGTTGTATGCATGTTACTTCGCGGTTGCCCTGACCGAAGAAGGGGAATAACCTCGGGGTCCTCACCCGATGCCTTTAGTTAGGAAGACAGACATGCAAGACAACAGGACGTAGCTCAGAATCCGCAGTCCATTGGGGGCTGGTGTCCAGTTGATTGGATCATATGCCATTTGGACGGGATCAAACGTCCAAGATGCCCAATCAAGCTGGTGGCCACTGCCACAACCAGGAAGGTGTGCGTGTGGTTCCTACACCTCTTCTTGGTTGGTTTGGAATCAGGGTTTTTGAATAGATCCCTTAGGTGAACTACCAGTGGTCCACCAATCCAGTTATAGCCCCGGATGTCGGCTGCTAGTCTTCTCACATCGGTGGGAAAACACCTACGCCACTGGAAGGCAGTGAGTAGGGCCTCTTTAGCAAAGACTTTGATACGCTTGATCACATAGCATTTCATGCGGTGCAGAGAAGGAGTGACCAGTCGCAACCCGAGGCACCCACCGCTAACCATACTGAGCCTTTTAGAAGATATGAACAGCATCGTTTTTCGAACACTTATTCGTACAGCATTGTACGAGTTTGATCAAACAACGTGGCAAGCAAGGTTGAGCTTAAATCCTGACCACACCAACTGGCGTACAACCATCCGTATGTCGTCGAATGTTGCATTTAGATCAGCGCCGGAAATGTATGTAAATTTCCTATAGCTGCCTGTATAGTTAACACTCACTTTATCTCAGCCAAGCTACATTTCCTAACCTATATGCATTTTGGAGAAGTTTTTAGCTCTCGGTACTGAAGAAATCAGTTCACTGTATTGACTTTGAACAATGATGCATCAATCGCGGTTTTCTTCTCTGCCATTCGTCTTATTTCAGTCAACTGCGTGCATTTGCGGCGTATGCAATGCTAGTATCACTTCAAATCGGTATATCATCTGCCTGGCTCAAGAGGGCAGTTTTCAGACATATGTGAATCCATCTGGGGTGTTGCATGACATTGTCACTGTCAGCCAAGTCACGCAGAGCTCTGTCATTCTGATGGGTTCGGCCTCGGAGGAATACTCTTGGTTTCCTGGGTAAGTATTTATGTTAGGTTATCATTAAACTGGGGAGATTAGTTTCCTCGGTACTCTCCTTGTAGATTTTGAACTCTAGTATTATTATTTACTGACTTGTTGTCATACTTCCTCGTTCGCTCAATGCGTCTGATCATGCAACTATTAGCAGCAAAAGTAGGAAACGACAAAGCTGTTTCTCGATAAATTCACCATCCATTGGTTGAGGTTGAAGAAATTTTCCATTTTTCTTTGATTGAGAACCTTTGGCACTCATTCATCTGCTAAATATGCGATTACTGCTGAATGGAATTACATGGAATAAATCACTGGTAACATATATCCAATCAATTATTTTCCTGGAGAATAATGTGTAATAATGGCATTATATGAAGATTTTGCAGATCCTTAAAACTAGCGTAATCTTTTCTATCAAAACAGCAAGGTGATCGATATCATAATCCTTTCAGAGTGCATCAATTTGCGTCTTTCTGTATTTTGCTGCTCTTGCCACCAATCTTTTCTTATCTCAGTTGGAGTGATGTGTTATCCTTGATTGGCTTTAAGTAAATCGATTGGTTTTAAATTAAATCATTTTTCCCATTCACTCCTAATAGTATTTTCTACATAATTTAAAACCATCGTCTAGGCTGCTCCTATTACCATTGATAGTGTGTTCGTTCTGTAGCCATCCGGATTATCTACCATCAATTATCTACAGAGAATTAGGTCTAGGTCACAAACCATGGTTGTTGTTTTTTGTGACAGAATACATTCGTCGATTTCTTGTTGGGTATCTAAAATCTATCATCGCTAATCGATTCGCCGGGTTCCATATGCAGTTACGCGTGGACAATTGCCAACTGTGCTGGTTGTACTGATCATCTCGGGTGGCTCTTCACTGCGGTCAACGAAGATTTACGACCACGCCGATTCTGGGGCATCCGACGTGAAGCGATTGTACCCGGTTTGATCAGCTCCAGTGATTGGCGGCCCTGCATTTGACTGCTGTTTTCCAGCTCCTGACCTTGTGCTTTATCCCAACTAGCTTGACTTTTGCTTATCACATACTGCGTTCCCATGGGACCAGTGAGTGTTTCAGGCATCCATCAGATTGGCTTTTGTAGTACTGAAGTGATTGCCATCAAGAGAAACCACGTTGACTTATTATATTGCATTCTTTGTTCACTCGCCATTCGTCATTTGTTTGGGTCTGTTATTCTTCATTCACCGACAATGCCCATGCGTCCCGGTTTCACAAACCCCCATAATTCATTTTGCCTATCAATTTCGCACTCGCCCATCCTGTTCACACTCATCTCGTTCCTACTAATGTTGCTGACACACTTTAAATCCAGTCAGTCATATCGTTATTTGTGATGCGCATGGTCATATTTGTCTTTTTTCCGGGATCCATCAATAGTCTCGATTGGTCGTTTGTTACATGTGCTCTGGGATATGAAAAATGCCATACATGATCCTCTTGTTGTGATAAACCATCGAACTTCGAGAAAGCCTAACGACTACATATTTTCACTGACGCGCAGCACTGTGCAATCAGCATATGATACCCTGCCACTGAATAAGCGATAGTGCTATTGTCATTGAGTCATAACCTTAATCTGTTTATCTAGGCACTTATGAAACGGTATCTGTTCTGTAACTTGCCTGAATTTCTTTTGAGGTAAGGGAGTCACCTTTTGACTTAATCTTTCGATGGATGCCCCGAGCCACGTGTTATTTGAATAAAGGTATAGACTCACGCATAATTTAAGTATGCTTTATCAATGCTTTGTGACCCGCAGTACATGAATTGGTCCGGTCAAAATAGCTAATCCCACGGGCTGGTCACATTGAACTAGTACTGATTTGGGCGAAGGCTCATTTAGCAAATCGTATCTGGAAGGTTTTGATACAGTCATTCTTCCATCAGGCGATGATCTGAACCAATGTTTCTATTTAAGGAATAATTTAAGCAACGGCCGGTCGTGAAGAAGAAACCTGATATTTCTCAATCAGTAATTGATCTTGATCCCCAAAATATGATAAAAGTGGGATGCAGTATTTTGGTTCAATGAATCACCGAAAAGATAGCTGTTTGCCGTTTTTCGTAGAATCTGTGACAGTAGTATTTTCGGATAGCTTACAAGACAGCCAGACAAGGATAGATGCCCTTTACGATTTAATCTTCTAGCCTCTTAACGTCTTCAATCCGTCAATTTATACCAACGGTGGTTGTCAATCAACCACATTGAATTCGAGTAAACAATAAGCGCATGAAAATAAAATCTGACAGATGAACCAAACTGTTTTTCGATAATTTGCCAACTAGAAATGCTTTTCAAAGTGCGTCTGATCAATATGAAATCCTTAAACAGACCGGCGACAATAACAGGGGAGCATTAGGTCCAATGGCATTAAACACACGAGAAAATAAATGTAGAAATAACATACAACGGCACCTTCAGATATCTTTGGGAGATGTAAAGCGTCAACTTTCTGACTTAACGTGGTACGTGCTAGGATCATTTGAGGTGCTGTGATCTTTCAACGTTTAAGTTGTTGAATTAAATGTGAAAAGATGATCCGGAAGGTGATGATGACCTACGAGTACTGGAAAACAAAACTGCATCTTTACTTCTTTCGCTGATCGTGCTCGCCTCACACCGAGAACATATTTTACTTCGCTTTACTTTAAAGGATGAAAAATATGTCGAGAACGTTCTTTCCAGTTACCTTGGCAAAGTTTCGAGTCGAATAAGAATATTTTCTGATGAGCCAAACACATGCGCGAACCCGGTAGACGCACGCGGATCAAAGAATAAATAAATAAATAATAATATAATATATAATAATAATATAATATATAATAATAATATAATATAATAATAATAATAAATAAATAATAAATTAGATGATCCTGACGAATCTAAATGTCAGCAAAACGATTGCAAAGAATGGAGGTTCATTCAAGAGCTCATGGGATGCCAACTTTTTAACCTTAATCAACCGACTTCCATTTTCAACAAACTACTGTGTAAACGGCCAGAGGGTTATGAAAGTAACACTCACTGCCCTGGATGTGACCAAATCGGTTTTGCAGGTACAGTATAAAAATAGAAGAGGACCACCAGAATTACGCCTCAGAACACTTGAATAGTGAGGTGAAACGGTGTACTTACAAGACGGTACTAACACGCTGCCTTGCAAAGCGAACCTTACTCCGCTCCCCATCTTCGCGAACCCACAGCAACAGAACCGACCCACTGCTAGCCAACCGCTGAGTGGTGGCCATAATTAACGATTTGAACGACAGCGAATTTCTAAACCGCCGCACCCTAGCCTATGGTTATATGAACGCACAAGGCTGCCTTGGTCAGTTTCCCGAGGCGCAACTGTGTTACAAACTGATCAGAGGGGTCTTGCTGCCATTAGTGAAACTTGGTTGACTGCGGATATTCTCCATTGAATTGAACCTACCTGGAATGTCCCTGATAAGACATGATTATTCTACTCGAGGTAGCAGCGTACCGCTATATTTTCGCAGCAATCTTCAATGTGAACTACATGGTCTCCTCGATGCAGCCCCCGAAAAACCTTGGTGCGCGATGAGGCTGTTTACAGACAGTATTTGTTTGCTCGGTGTGGTCAATCACTCTCTTGCATCCTCCGGCTCAGCTAACGGTACACCATTGCATGCTATAAGATGCGCTCTCAACGAAGTGCATTCATGTTCTCATAATGTGATACTTCAACTGTCCCAATTTTACAAAACTAAAACTATAACCAGCTGTTCCAGAGACATTTAACACAGGGCATTGACTCATCTAATGCATAATCATATAAACTAGAATACCAGATTTGGAACAAGCCACTTACCATTAACGTTGGACTTGGTAATGACAAGCGGGGGGTCTTACGCGTAGAATCTGTCGAAATTAAGTCTCCATTAGGACGCAGCGACCATGCAGTCCTGCTTTTCTATTACATTTATCGCGCCTCTATGAAGGAATGCTTGAAAACTACACCCTTGACCACTACATAAAATTGCAGAACCTCACTGCATTCAAGTAATGGACTCTCCTGGAAGGCAGTTTGATCCATTGGTGTGCTGCAAAAGACTGATTGAAACTGACCTAACTCATAACAAAAACCAAGCCTATTGGTACACTTTATACGTGATCGTCACCTATTCGCAGTTGAACAAAGAAATAGACAGTGCAGAGGAGATTCTCATGACGACAGTTCAAAAGATTTCCCAATACTCACACTCGAGATAATTATATGTTGAGAAACCTCTATGTAAAAATATTGCGAGACGACAAACGGAGTTTTCAAGAAACCCTGGTACAAATTTATTTCGAATTGGAAACTCACACGAACATGTCAATGCCACCAGAAAAGTGAACTGCGGACTACCGCCATGAAGACTGGACGCGTTTTCGCTATTACGACTGAAGCAGCCGAATTCCTACAAGACCAGTTCTATGAAGTGTTCGTTGCAGGTGACAAAGACGGATGGCAGCCTCCATACCTTTTGCAATATGTGACTACCGCTATCTTCGGGAATAAAACGGTAAAAGCCAAACTACTGATGTAGCGTAATAATTCATCCGTAGGGGAAGATAACTTCCATCCCTCCACCCTAATATCCTTGGCAAACCTCATAAGGGAAGTAATTTCTTTTTTACATCAAAGAATGATCGAGAGGATGATTCCCCGGTCCTGGAAACACGGTATCATTTGTTTCTATTTACAAAGGTGGCTGTCGAAGTGATCCCACAAACTACCGTCCAGTTACACCTCTTGTTCTGTCAATAGTAACGGAATTAATTGTTGCTGATTCTCTGACGGAGCATTTCGAGAAGCATAACATTCTGTCGTCAGCTCAACAATGGTTTCGACGAAAACGGCCGTGCATCACAAACCCGCTACTTGCTCCTGATTATTGGATAAGAGCAGTAGACGTAGTCTATTTTATTGGGAGGTGTTGTGTGGCATTACTCACATTTGTGAGTAGTATAGTTGGCGCACGAATTTGTGGTTTCTTCTGGAGTGCAATAGTGTCTTCGGAATTTTTACTACAGAACTCGCCAAAATACGTTGGACTGTTTGACCGATGATCTTCAGCGTTCTTTGAAAGTGTGTGTGTGCGGAGGTAGTACATTGAAGATAAATCCGGAGCACTCAAGCGGCTTTTAGTACCGGGATCCTGAATTCATGTCGCCGATATGCAAAAATGCATCGATCGCTACGGTGTCTATTTTATGCATCACACAATCTAATTGGTCCGCCTGTATCACAGTCCTCAGGTTGAAAGCTCCCATATTCAGTGATCGACAAGGTTTTAGAGTCTTTAATCTATTTCGCGACAAAACACTTGGCAATAACTTTTGGCTAACGACAACCGATTAGCTTGAGGGGCTGTTGCATATCGGAAGACGGTTGGGTTTTGAAGACTGGGGATAGGAGATCTGAGCAGTAGTTCACTTACCAATAACCACCCCGATCGGTGCAATGAGCAGTGTAGTCCTGCTTATCCTGCACGACGACCAAGGCAGTATGAAATTATTTATAGTTTGTGGTTCCATTAGAGTTTGATAGACGGGTACTGCTAGGATGTACAGCCTTTAGTTATGACAAGATGCTAACTTCAAGATAGCGGGTAAAGCGGATTAGAGCGCCATTTACTTGGAACGATTACTCCTCTACGATTTTACCGACTGAGATGCTAACTGGAGTCGAAACCCCAACCTGGAGCATCAGGAAACTGGATTTTGTCTGATCTCTAACCTTCGAGTTTCGACGCATGATTAGACCTTCCATTTAATAAAAACCAATCTGCGTAATTTGGTGTGTCAGGGAGGCACAAAACGGATTATACTACGTTAAGGCGCAGTCGCAATGGGACGCTTCTACTTGATACGATTTTACTGTTCACAGGGCTACAATCATAAATTCAAAGTGGATTTTAGAAACTAGTGCCCCCACAAATGAATAATTAA